GACAGCTAGCACAGCTATATGAACATCAGGGGGTAAAAGTTTGTGCACAACGTATACGGCCAAAAATAAATCAAGTTTAAGATCGATAACTATCATAGAGGAGACAACTATGATGCAGGTGGCAATTTTATTGAAGAGACATACTTAATATACTTTAATTGAGATAGACTGACAAGTGACTGTTGATAAGGATAAGTAGAGAATCTTGGGGATACATGGCATAAAAATGTAATAGACTGTTCTGTGACTGTTGGTGAGAATAGGTAGAGTACCTTGAGGAGATAATACATAAATATTGATGCCCTAAAAGCACTATTCATCTGGCAAGCAACCCATCTTTACATATACACACATTAAACACCATATATCTTGCAAACGATTTCTTTGTATAATGTATATAAACAATATAATATTACTTTTTTAAGACACTTTGAGTGACCTACCGAAAATATCAGATAGGACAATCGGGACATGGGTGACCCCATCACGCCCAGAATCTTCGAAAACGAGCTTTGTAGCAGTATACCGTCGCCCTGGTCATCCAGCGAACTAAACACATCTTCAGCTTGCTCTAGGACATCTTTAAGGTTCTTTCCTCCCCACTCATCACGCAGTGTTTGTGTATCCTCAGCAGATAGCTCGGGCGCATTGCGTTTCTTAAGCATCTGTGACAAGGGTTGGAACTTGCCTGAGCGCAGCGACATGCTATTCGCAAAGCTCGATAGTGACGAAGGACTGTGTATGGGCCCATTGGTAGCACTAGAGCTGATTGTGCTGGCTGGTGTAGCTGAGATTGATCTACCGCCCTTACTACTTATAGTACTGCCTGTGGGGTTGCCTTTACCGAGTTTGTTCGGACTGGTGTCGGCTTCATAGTGCACATTCATGTTCTTGATGCCGTACTGATTGTCTTGGCATCCGACAGATGCCTTGCGCGGTGACGGGGGAGTACCCATGTGTTCGATTTATGCGACTCTAACCCAGTTAATAGTATATGTATGTTAATATGTATTCATTATATGATACAGGGCTACTGCATATAGACGGTTCCAGTGATTTTATACTTCTGTATTTAAAAATACAATATACGTACATACACACATATATAATTATATTTTTAAAATATATATTTAAGTCCTCTCTCATTTGATGGTTACTATGAAACTTTCATCCAATCAAAAAAGAGGTGTTTGGGGGGGGGGTCCTAATTGCTTTCCTGATACCATCGATAATATGTTTATAAAATTTACATAGTACATATAGGAGTATAGTACTCGTATATGCAGTCTCTTACATATTATTGTAAATATATTCTGCTGATACATCACCTAATAAATATCGATGTAAACTATAGATGTAGCACCGCTCGTGAGACAACCATACGCTCATACAGATAGCCAGTGTGCAATATAGTATATAAATATCAGGTGGAGCCTTCACGGGTGCTGCGATCGATGAAGTTTCCAAAAGCTGATGACTTAGTGATGAGTCATCACACGGAAGCAATGCTTTCCAAAAAACAATATAAATATATAAAGTATAAATAATAAAAACACATCAATCAAAAGTACGAGTGCAGTCCATGGAGGGTTATAGCTGAGGCCTGAGCTTACATCGCTATCTACACATTAGCTCCAGGCACACACAGGGTAAGGTTGCACCATGAACTTCAATAAGTTCAAGGAAGGGCTCAGTAAAGCCGGCGATAGTATCAAGTCTGGCGTGTCAACTGCTGGAGATAGCATTAAATCCGGAGTATCGACAGCACAGAGTAAATGGAAGAATGTTATAAATAACAATGGTATGTAGTGTAACACGATAACAATGATTGCCTTTCGAATCTGATTGATATGATAAAGTTTCTAATGGGATAGTTTAAGCATTCTTACACGTATTTGTATTTACGATTTTTAGTACTGCAGGTAGTTTAACCCGCGTCTGTATCTCCGATACGTACGTGATGTTCTACAACTCTATTGACATTCATACATGCGGTTATGCCATGCAGAGTAATGTCATGGATGCTAGTTGTCAATCTCAGAACCTATTGACTGGATAGTATGTGCATACTATTTTATCGGCTCTAAGTAATTCCAACTTATACGAAAACTTATTCCCAAGCGACAACAAAACCTATGGTCGCTGACAATATAATATATATATATATATATATATATATATATATATATATATATACACACACACACACACACACACAC